ATGCATGGATGAAACATTTATCTCTGTGATGTTATCAAATACTGTGGTGATCTGAGGCATTTACATTGTTATGAGGAGATAACATGGTGTTATATTAGTAATGTTCCCATTGCTGGCATAAGTTGCTATGTAATTTCCAAGAAAAACCCTGCAGGTACATAAATAAGTCATGTCACTTCTGAGTGTATTCATTTTGCATGACAAAAATCTTGAATTCACACTGTCCTTAAAACTTCAGGCATGGTTATTGTGAAGAATAGCTCAAGTATGAGAGTAGGTAGAATTTGTGCATGGAGTTTCTCGGTCTTTGGTAGTACTCACAAGCTACGTTAAACAGACACAAACGCCTCCTCTTGGAGACGGTCCTTTTTCTGCTGGATCGAGGTTTGCCCATTTTCCTCTTGGCAGTACACCGCAGTACACTGCATTGGCATAAACAACAATCACTGCGGTTTTCATAGTAAAAAGTCTGTCATCTTCTCTACCATGCATGGGTGACAGTAATTGTCAAGTCGCTTTCTTTAGGCTGAATGGACACAGTAACAGAGAAAACAAAGGCAGAAGTTCGGGTATTTTGTCTGGAGTAGGGGTGTATGTAGGTGTATGACTTGGTTCATTTCCAGCTATACCTGCTGAAAGATTTTGACAACTTTTGGAGCAAGCCAGTGATACATTTTCTTAATAGGTACCGATTCCTATTTGTATCCTTGCCCATCAGAAGCATAAATGTGTCCTGGTATCGAGTTTTGTCCAAGGTAATATTTCTGGTGAAAGTTCAGGTGGGTTGCAGTAATTGTTTACAGGAGCGTAGATACCTTGCGCAACTTTGGAAGGACTAAATCAGATAAAAGCATGCTCCCTGTTTGCTTTTTATCACGACTCCTACAGAAATTTAAAGGACACTTCCCCAGCAGCTCTCATTTCAATGTGGTTTAGGGAGGCGGTGTGATTCAGCGGGCTGGACATGGGTTTCCTCATTTGTAATGTTATTTATTATTACTTAAACCTGCTCCAAGAACTATGGGTGAAAAGCTAAGCTATTCCTCCAAAAACTAGATTATTCTTACTGAGACTTGAAAAAATTGACTGCGTTGAGTATCTCCATATGGTAAAATTTTTGGAGGTGGCTTCTTTGAAGGGAGTCAGGTGGCCAGCTTTGGGCTGAGGGATCTCAGCTGGAAGTCTTGGACCTGAGCAAATGTTACGCTTAGATGTTCATAACTGAACTGAACTACTGAGTAGTAGTTGAAGGTGTGCAATAAATTATAGACAACTTTTAAAGCATTCAACTGGGTGACGGGGAGAAGGGGTTTGGCCTAGATATTTTTCTTTGACCGAAAAGTGAAGAGTTGTTGGAGATTGTGGCTCTGAATCTGCTTACTCTAATGGGTTCTGAGGTGCTCTCCTAGGAAATGCAAGACACGGAATTGTGTGTGCAAACTTAATTCAGCCTCTTTATCTGTGTAAGTTCTGCCCCAGTCTTGAAGTACTTTATTACATAGTCCTTGCCTGTTGGATCTAGGCTTATCCAAAGATAAGCAATGATCTGGGCTCTTTCAAAGGCGCAAAAGATGAACAGTCCCTGCTGTTAACGAATGGGCCTGCTGATGACAGGTGCATCGCAGCTATCTCAAAGGGGAAAAAGGATTCTTGGCCACGAGCTGGCGGGGCTCAGTGAGAGGGCTTTAAACTAGGTTTGAAGGGGGAAGGGGACATCGCCCAGCTCACTAGGGATGAGCTTAGGCTTGGTATGCCAGGGTCAGGGGTGAGATTGACAGCCCAGCTCAAGTGTGTCTACACCAACGCACGTAGCATGGGCAATAAACAGGAGGAGCTGGAAGCCATTATACAGCAGGACAGCTA